TGAACACGCCTTACAGAGCATCTTCTTTTATAGTGTCTCCTCTAATTACATCTGTCCACTGGCCCAGCTGCTCCCTGATAGCTTTGCTTGGCTTCAGTGAAGATGGCTCGTCTCTCCTCCCCGGAGAGCTTTAAATAAAAGATCTGTGTGTCTCTGTGTGGGGATGAGAGGAGGAAGGGATGAGGGACTGGCTTTTTTCTACCTTTCTTCCTTTTTTCTTTTTTAATTTGCTGCCTCTATGTGAGATGGGGATATGGGTGGCCAGCCTGAATTAATGTGATAGCTTTGTGGTGACACCCTGAGGATAAAGGAAGGTTTGGGATGGTGGCAAGCTCTGGTTTAGAATGACTTCATACAACTCTGGAGAGCCAGGATCGCTGTCCTCCGAGGCCCATGATGTTTTCTGATGTAGGAGGACGGCACATTATCCTAAAAGCAGGCAAAAATAATTGCATCCTAGAGACCAGATCACAGGTAGTGGTTTTTAAAAGTAAGTTTTGTTGTCCGTTTTTGCACATATTCTTTCTGTTTGCATTTTTCCTTCTCTAATTCCCAGCCTCACCATCACATGCAGAGAATGCTTGATGTCCTGGTGCTATGAATAAAGGAACACTTCCCAATAGAATCTAGCAAGACTACCAAATGAAAAACCACCGGGATTTCTGGAGGCCAGCGAGCATAGCCTGTAGCTGGGAAATGCCTTCAGCGTCAGGGGGCAGGGTGCTCAGGCATCAGGACTGGCGCCACACGGTGTCTTAAAGGTCAAGTTCATCCTGCCTGCGGAGTCCTGCCAACCTCAGCAGCCAATCCAAGACAGTATTGATAAGGAACAAAGACAGTATTGATGAGGATGACGGGGATATGCATATTTTAAATTCCCTTCCGCTTTCCAAGTTTGACTCTTCAGTGGCCAAATCTTATTTTCTGTGCTTTGTCCAAGCATTCCCTGTGACATCAGAGATTCCCAGTTAGGTGTCTGCATACAAGCAGATGGGGGCAAACCTTAAATATTAAATGATGAAAGTCTTTCTTACTTAATGATATTGAAATACTAAAAGTGTTTAAATTGAGCATACTGTCTGGCTTAAAAATCTACCTTTGGGAATTAAAGAACTGAGTAGACAAGGATATAAGTTTGTATGCTCAAGTATACTGGTTTAGGTTACGGTAGGCCTGTGTTTAAGAATATGAACCCTGGGGTCAGCTGACGTGGGTCCCAGTCTTGCCTCTACTTCTTATTATTTGTGTCACTGTTGTTGTGTCATTCAACTTTTCTGCCTTGTCAATGTCCCTACCTCATAGGGCCTGTGCTTTCCCAAGAAAGAAATGACTTAACCTGCAGAAGATGTGTAGGATAGTTTCTGGCGCATAGTGTTTGTTATCAATAGTAGGACAACTGGAAATAGCCTCATATGCATTGATTTAATGAAACAAAATGTGTTCTGCTTTCAAGATATCACATATTATAAGAAAGACAATTAGGTTACATGATAGTGTGTTAAGTCTGAATTCTAAAGAGTTGCATGTCAAAAGATTATAGTTGTTTTTGTTATTTATTTTTATTTATTTATTTATTTTTTTGTAATGAATTATAGACTACATTTTCCCCTCTCGACCATTGCTGTTTTCTAAATAATCTACAAAGGAAATGTATAATATACTAACCATTGCCTTTTTAACATCTTCAGAGTAACAGCAGCTAACATTTATTGAAAGCTTACAATGGAGATCAGGTTATATGAATACATGCATTGCTTGCACTGTCCCTATGAGGCAGGTGCTATGATTATCATCTCCATTTCACAATTAAGAAACTGAGGCACAGAGAGGCCCTATCTGTCTCGGGACCTGTATTTTTAGATTAGGTACTCTGTATGATTTCAGTACCAACAGAGCAATGAACTACAGCCTCCACAACAATACCCTCATTGCAGTCACTGTTTAAAGGAAATGAATAAAGAGTGCCTCCCTTCCCTGTGTCTGTGTTGCCAGCTAATAGATAAATTGGGAGGGGGGGCGGGTCAGGTCTCCCACCTTCCTCTTAGTTATCTTGCTTCAGCAAATGGGGGAAGTACATCAGGTGTTGCAGTAAAATTGACTTTTCTGTATAGCCCTTAAATCAAGTGTGTTGACTTTACATTGCATTAACCAAACTGGAAATAGTTATAGTTTTGCAAATCATAAACTGAAGTAGTTGAGAAGTAGCATTTTTTTTTCTCTTTTGTATTATTCAAATAATCCTGAATGCATCTATTGGGTACCCTGAATGAGCCTTCTAATCTCTTTCATGTGTGCAGAAGATAAGTTCAAAAAGTACGGGAACACAGTGACATGAGGGTCTGCAAATGAGTCAATTATTTAGTTCCTGTAGCAATGAAGTGTCCCTTCAGTTCAGAGAACTTAATTACCACGGATCAAAGGCATCAGGAGGAAATGGTGGATTTTCGGCAATTGTCTGTTTCTCTTGTAGAATTTCCTTTTTCTGTGCAGGCAGCTAACTTATGATTGATGGCTATTGTGTATCCTTTAGGAAATCAAAATGGGATGTTACCCAGTAATAATTTTACATTAGGAAATGATATCGGAAATCTGGTGGCTGCAGCCACAGTATCTATTTAAAAAAAAATTTTTTTTTAATTGATTTCAGAGAGGAAGGGAGAGGGAGAGAGAGACAGAAGCATCAGTGATCAGAGAGAATCAGTGATGGGCTGCCTCCTGCATGCCCCACTCTGGGGACTGAGCCTGCAACCCCAGGCATGTGCCCTGACCAGGAATGGAACTGTTACCTCCTGGTTCATAGGTCGATGCTCAAACACTGAGCCATGCTAGCCAGGCACACAGTATCTATTTTTTAAAATCTTCCACCATTATGATTAATAGCCAACCTGGTAATTTACTAGCATACAAAGCTGGTTGAACGAGGCTGTCCAGACTAGCGTGTTTCTGGGTACCACTGCCAGCTGTGCATCCTTGAGACTAAAATACGAACTTAGCCAGTGCCTTTCTCAGAGGCAACTAATTAGGTTCGGGGAGCTTCTGGAGTTCAATTTATCATTAGATAAAGTCTCTGAAATCCATAAGGACTAGCCTGGCCCATCTTGATAAATTGCCAGCCTAATCCTCCCAGAATTCTGCTGGGAGGTGAAATTCACTACTGTCTCCTGTGCTCAGAGATCATTCTTGATCTCTTTCCCAGAAGAGGCTGGACTTCCTGAGAGGTACTGGCAGCCAGGGGAGGGATTGATCTCCTTGCTGCTGCTTACCTTCCCTTCTAGCAAATCTACTAGTAACACAACCCGTCAGCGACAGGATCTGCTCCTCAGTGGGCCAGTCTGGCCACATCTTGCACATATGGCTCATCTTGCCAGTTAGCGGGATGGTAGAACTCTCCCGTGTCCCCGCATTCCCCACGGCCTTGCTAAGGATGCAGCGTGGTTCATGGAAGTGGCACGAGGATTTGGGCATGATTTGCCACTCCCAAACCTTGCACAAATGAGCCTTGGTCTCCTCCATTGTGGAGCAGTGAGATCAATGCCTGCATTACAAAGTTGTCAAAAATATGAAGAGTAGAAAGCATCTCCTTTAGGGCCTGGAGCCTACTAGGCACTCGTGAAGTCGTTTTTATTATAATCACATTGTTCACTGCCTGTTAGAAATTTAGGGGATTTAAATTATTCATTTTTTTGCCCTAGCTGTTTGGCTCAGTGGATAGAGCGTTGGTCTGCGGACTGAAGGATCCCAGGTTCGATACCGGCTAAAGGCACATGCCTGAGTTGTGAACTCGATCCCCAGTATAGAATGTGCTGGAGGCAGCCAATCAATGATTCTCTCTCCTTATTGATGTTTCTCCCCCACCTCTCTCTTTCTCCCTCTCTCCCTTTCTCCCTCACTCTCCCTTCCTCTCTGAAATAAAGAAATATATATATATATATATTTTTTTAATTATTCATTTTTTTCCTCAATTCACTAATGTGAGCTGGCTCTGGGTTCTAGACCAGAGAGTCAGGAGTTGTGTTGTAGGAGTTGAGAGACAAGGTCAAATAACTTGTACACCTTGGTTTGCTTTCTGAAAGCAAGTGGAATTTCATCTTTTATTTCATCTCTTTCTTCTTCCCACTTATTCCCTCTCGCCTCTCTCTTCCCCTCCCCTTCACTTCCCCATGCAAGCCATGGGATATTTTCATTACCATTTCAGACCCACATACTTATTGTTGTTGCAAACGGGATTCACATGAATTATTCTACCACTCTTCTAATTACATACCAAACTGTAGTCTGTACTCAAGACATACTGCAATCCTCCTAAACGAATGACCAATCCTCCCACCACCACCACCACCACCCCAGAAAACACCTAAAATTTCCAATTTCCCTTTAATTCAGCGGTTCCGTCACTGTGACCTTTTTTTCGTTCTGCTTGGAAGCCCTCCATGCCTGCTTTTCGTTAAGGTTCTGTTTTATAGCAGAACTGCAGCCGCAGTCAGAGCAAGGCAATAAGCAGATAGCGCGGTTCCAACACTTCTCTGGAGCCCAGGCTTGCTTCCTGACCGCCTCCAACTGGTTGATCATCTCCAGACCCCGAAGTGCCAAATGCACGTGTGGCTAGCTGACTGCAGAAGCCTGGAGACGAACTCTCTGGGGGGAAAAAAACTACTGGAGTCGTTTTGCCTGCAGCTCGGCCGGCCCGTGGGTGCTGTGGGGAGGGCCTGTGACTCACAGGGTGGATGCATGTGTCTCCCCCACTGTGGGTAGAGCCCGCTGGACGCCGGACATCCGTATGCAGCCAGCCTCCTGTGCTGCTAGGCTGTGCTGACGAACCATGTCCCTGTGTGTGCGCCTTCCCTTGGCTGCTGCGGGGAACACGGGCCGGGAGCTCTGGAATCTTGGCAGGTGCGGAGTCAGAGTGCACAGGCAGGCCGCCAGGGCCCCGGGGGGGGCCGGGCGCTGGCCATCGGCCTGGGCTGCCTTCCCCTCACGCTTCTCCCCCTGTTGTTTTGCAGGTAGCGAAGCCGATTTCAGCTCCTCGAGCAGCACGGGCAGCATCTCCGCGCCTGAGGTCCACATGTCTGCGGCAGGAAGCAAGCGCTCCTCGTTCTCACGCAAGTAGGCACCGTCTCCCGCCCTGTGGTTAGTAAGGCCCTGCCCGCGGGGCGGCTTCCCTGGACTTGATGCTTCTAGAGAGCCACCCAGAGGACTGTCCAGCCGTATCTTGGTCAGTGAGTGGGTTTTGTGGGGGGGTTTTTAGGGATTAGAAATGGGTGTTTCGCTCCCGCCTGTCCTCCTGTGGCCACGTGGCGGCGTGGCCTCTGTCACCTCTCAGCCAGCCTTCGGCTCCGGGTCCAGTCCACGTTCTCCTCCTCTCTCACCGGTGTGCTCACTCACCTGGGCCTCCAGCTAGCCTTCCAAGCTCCACCCGCCTCCCCTCGTGAATCTGGATTACGAATTCACCCTTTCTTTCTTCCAGCTGAGCTTCCTTTTCTTTATTTTGGTGCAAGAAGCATACACTATATATAAGCATAAATATTGGTCATCCCAATATGTACTCGGGGAAGGAAGTATGACGTTCCTAGGCATAGGAAAGTGTGTGGGCTCTGGGGTCAGGCTGCCTTGGGTTGAATGGCAGTTTCACTTACAGGCTGCGTGGCCCTGAGCAAGTAGCTTAGCTTCTCCAAGCCTCAGTCACCTCGTCTGTAAAACAGGGCTACAGCCGAAAACCGGTTTGGCTCAGTGGTAGAGCTTCGGTCTGTGGACTGAAAGGTCCCAGGTTCGATTCTGGTCAGGGGCATGTACATTGGTTGCGGGCACATCCCCGGTAGGAGGTGTGCAAGAGGCAGCTGGTGGATGGTTCTCTTTCATCAACGTTTCTAGCTCTCTATATCTCTCTCCCTTCCTCTCTGTAAAAAAATCAATAAAATATACTTAGAAAAAAAGAAAGAAAAATAAATTAAAAAAATAAAACAGGACTACAGTGAGGCCCACCTCATAAGGTTTATTGTCATGATTAGATTGGCTGATTTGGGTCAAGTGTGGGCTCATAAAGGAAAGGAAGCTCAGCTGGAAGAAAGAAAGGGTGAATCCATAATCTAGATTCCTGAGGGGAGGCAGGTGGAAACAGGGGAAGTGCTTAGCGTAGGAAGCATCAGCAGGGTTCGCCTCGGATGCTGTTTGGGGAGAGGGGAGAGGACTGGGGGACACAGGCGCCTCTTCACACTGGGCGGGACAGGGATTCTCTGCCACCATCAGCGACTTGTTCTACAAGTATCTGTGGAGCATCTACTATAAGACAGGTTCTGGAGATGGGGCAGGAAACAAAACGCCAGGAAAATTACATTCCTTCTAGCAGGGGAAGAAAGAATAAGTGCATAAATAATGTAATTACTTTTATTTTTATTTTAATATATTTTATTGATTTTTTTACAGTGAGGAAGAGAGAGGGAAAGAGAGCTAGAAACATCGATAGAGAGAAACATCGACCAGTTGCCTCCTACACACACACACACACACACACACACACACCCCGCACTGGGGATGTGCCCGAAACCAATGTACATGCCCTTGGCCAGAAACGAACCTGGGACTCCCCCCCAGTCTGTAGACTGACACTCTATCCACTGAGCCAAACCGATTCAGGCTGTAATTCCCTTTAAAACCTGCAGGGAAAGGCTACAGGAGAGTAATGGGGGGTAGGGGGATTCTGGGAGACTTCTGAGCAGAGACCTGAACAAAGCTACGGACGAGCCATAAGACACAGGGGGGTGATTTGTGTTCAGACTTTGGGGATGCCACGTGGCTCTCCTGGGCCTCAGTGTCCAAATGTGTATGAAAGAGGTTGGACTGCATGTTGTTGTAAGGTCCCTTCCTGGAGGAAAGCTGTCTCATTCCTAAAACCTGGCATTTCCAGGAGTCAGTTCCCATTCCCCTTGGGGAGGCCGCAGCTTCGGCTGATGTTTACAAAGGGACCCGAGACCCACGGTGCAGAGTTTATTGAAAACAAAGCCGAAGCCAGACAAACCTGTAACAAAAGAGCGAAGTCCACGTGAAAAAGCAGTCGTTCTGTTCCCAAACACCATCTGTTTTGGAAATAAATTGCCTCTGAGATCACAGGACGGTGAATATGAACGTTCTCTGTATAAGTCAGATGGGGCTCGCTCTGAAAATAACCCACTAATCTCACCCATTCAAGAAATTAGCCCATACCCATGGTACAGGCATCGAAGAGCAAAGAAGCAAAAGGAAAAAAACAAATGTCCTGAAGAAGAAGCCAAATTTGTTAAGCCTTTCAACAGAATTTGTGTTTATGGTTAAATTCCAAGGTAATGCCAGTAATACTGAGTGACTTGGAGAAAATGTGCTAGTCTGGAATTCACGATATCTCTAAGTGGTTAAAAATTGATGTCAAACATAAAATAGATAAATGTAACTATGTGCAAATCAGATGTATGTTTCATAGATGGGAAATGGAAGTTGGAAATATTCTATCCATTACCCTCACTTTTTTTTTTTTTTAAATCCTGACCCCAGGAAATGCTTATTGATTTTAGAGAAAAAAGAAAGGGAGGAAGAAAGGAAGGAAAGGAGGGAGGGAGGGAGGGAGGGAGGGAGGGAAGGAGAGAGGGAGGGAGTGAGAAACACCAGGGAATCAAACCTGCAACCTAGTTATGTGCCCTGATTGGGAATCGAATCTGTAACCTTTCAGTATACAGGACAACACTTTAATAACTGAGCCACACCAGTCAGGCCCTAACTTTTTTTTTTTTTTTTTTTTTAAATCTGATGCAGGCATAGAGCACCAAGAGTAGATTTCTATGATGGACTAGCTCGGCATTTCACATTGTCTTTGTGACCCACACATTGAGGGCAACTCCTCTAGATGGGCCGGTATCCTTGCCAAATTCTGTAATAGTTTATGATCTGTTTAATAGGCTCAATCCTATTAGAAAGGAATTTTCTCTGTGGAGAATTAGCTCCTGGGAGGAAGCATGGCGGGAACATTTGGCAAAGGTGGGGTGGGAAGAATGAGGGACAGGTGGAGTTGGTGAGAGTCGTTTTGATAGGTGATTTTAAAAACAACACATTAGAGATTTACAAATGGTCTCTTCTTACAGAAGGCCAACACTGGTGTATCTGAGGCATTCTCTTCCTTAAACTAAAACCCTGTCTGACCAGAGGCAGACGGAAGTGAGAAGAGAAGCGCTTGGGAATTGGAATCAGACAGTCCTGCACCTGAGTTCAGCCTCCATTGTTTATTAGGGGCATGACCCGAGCCCTGGGCCTCAGTTTCCTCTCCTGGAAAATGGGGTAATCATGGCTTCTACCTCATGCTGCCGTTGCTGATGGTGGTGGTGCCAATTATGGTGATGGTGATCATACCAATTTGCTAGGGCTGCCATGACAAAATACCACAGACGAAGTGGCTTAAATCAGTGTTTTTCAACCGCTGTTCCGCGGCACACTAGTGTGCCGCGAGATGTTGCCTGGTGTGCCGTAGGTGCAGACAAGATAAGAATTTTATAATTTTTCACTATTTTGTTTACTTAATATTTCATAATAAAGTAATTATAAAATACTTTCTTTGTGTTTATTTGATTCCTATTCAAGAGAATTACTTTATATATAGTCAATATAGGCACAGAGTTAAATTTTTTAACATTTTCTAATGGTGGTGTGCCTTGTGATTTTTTTCATGAAACAAGTGTGCCTTTGCCCAAAAAAGGTTGAAAAACACTGGCTTAAATGATAGAAATTTACTTTCTCACAGTTTTGGAGACGATTAGTATGAGATGGAGGTATCAATGGGTTTGGCTTCTTCTGAGGCCTCTCTCCTCCGTCTTGTCCCATTTCCTCACAGTCTTTCCTCTTTACTCTGTCTGTGTTCAATTTTCCTCTTCATATAAGGACTCTCATCAAATTGGACTAGAGCCCATCCGAATCGCCTCATTTCAACTTCATTTCTTTTTAGAAAGCCTTGTTTTCAAACAGGGTCACATTCTTAGGTACGGGTGGTTGGGGCCTCAACCTGTGGATTTGGGGACACACAGTTCAGCCCAAAACAGTGATCATGGTAACGATGATGGTGTTGATAAGAATGTGACCTGAAGTAAAGGACAGCAGCTGGGGCATAGAAATTCACCCGGGCCCCTTCCGAGGTTTCCATCTTCACGTCTCAGTGTCTCTCACTTTCCATTTATCCTCCTCCTGTTTGGGGTGGGGTAAGCAGAGTTCTGTCTCTCCTCTGTGGACTTCATTCTTGTTCACCAAACCAGGGGTGTTAGGTGGGCTGAGGAGGGTAGCATTGGGTTTGTCTATTCACAGCCCAGACCAATATGGAACCCCTGCTTCTCCTTCGAAACGTTTTATCATCACCCATGATGACTTTGGATTAAACTAAATGTAAGGAACAGAACAGAGATTGTTACGTATGTACTTTCTCTTAAAAAAGTTAGCTGTTACAGTCTACAATCATTCATTTCCTGAAATACACGTGAATAAGTTTGAAGACTTGATTGTACTTTAGTCATGCTTAATAGCTTAAGAGTTTTTGCTTTAGTCTGTAGAGCAGATGAGTTCTTACAAAATCCTCATCTAATTGCATTTGTGTCTTAGTCACATACTACACTGAAGAAGTCAGTGGCAAATTCTTCAGGTCACAACCATATACATAGCCAGGACCCAATGTACCTGTTTACAAGCTCAGAGCAGTATACTCCACTTGGGGAAAGTAGGAGGTATTTCTGCAGTGTGAAAAGACCTGGATTTCATTCCCTGTTCTTGAGCCAGTTTTTCGTTTGCTTGCTTGCTTGCTTGTTTGTTTGTCTCTCTCTCAGCCTCAGTTACTTACTGAGTACTTCACAGAGAGGGAGATAACCTCTGTACCAGCTTTATGTCCAGCATGATGGTCAGTTACATGAAACAATGTTCATAAAGCACCAGGAACAGGGCTGGAGTCACAGAAGGTCCGTGGTGAAGGTAGACTCAATAGGATTCCCCAGGTCAATGTTAGGGGGAGTTCTTTGCTGTCTGCCCTAACTTGCAATGAATGGCTAACCCTCCACATTCCTCACAGCCACGGTAAGAAGCAGGCCGGTTGGTACCAGGCTTGGAAGTGACGTCTAAAGAAGCAAACTCAAGCCAGGGTGCATGTTCTCTGCAGCTACTCCTGCAGTCCTCCCGCCCCTGGGCTGCTCGAGGTGGTTTGTCACAGAGCCATCAGCCCATCTGTTCTCTATAAAGCGTCCCCTTTTCATGAAGAGGAGACAGAGTCCATTTGCATGCTTTCAAAAGGAAAGAACCTTTTAACTTTCCAACGTGGTGACGTTCCCTTTGTGTGTGATTTATGGGTTGACAGCGAGTTGACATTGCACTTGATTTTAAAGAATTGTGGCTTTGGAGCCAAGTGTGACCACGTGCACGCTCACATTCCTTGCACACACGTTTCTCATTGAGATGTGCCGGTTGGACACGGCGGTAATTGAAGTGGCAAGCGGGGGATCCTCAAAAAGCAGGATGCTCTGTGTCCTTTTCCAACAATCTTTTCAGAATGCTTCCCTGGGACCAGATTAACAGGGAAGTGGAAACAAGTTTCTTCTCTGGTGACACCCTATCGTTGAATTGCCCTGAACAGCTTGTCAAATGCCCTTACGCGCCTTCTTGGATTTTTCCTATCAACTCTGTGAGGAAGACAGGAGAAGTTATCATATATCCCCATAGGTTAAGTTCCTACAATGTGGCAGTGCCAGGATGTCAACCCAGTGTATTCAGTCATCAGTCATCCAGGGAGCACCTAGTGTGTGCCAGGCATTAGCGGGGACAGAAAAGGCCAGGCTGTGTGTTTCTGCCCATGGCATGCCCTCGTTTTCAGGAAAGGAGGGTTGGGGTGGTGATGCATTGTGGTACATTTCATGTTGGAAGTTCTCACAGAATATTAGAGAGCAACAAGGAATGGCACCGACACCGGCCGTGGGAAGGAACAATCCAGAGAAGGCTGCTTGGAGTAGGTTCCCATCAGTTTCGAAGTAGGAGGTACCCAGAGGCTTAGGGTAGGGAGCAGAGGAGAATATACTAGGCAGAGGAAATTAGAAGCTTAAAAATATAAAGTTGATGGAGAGCGTGGATTGTCAAGAAACTGTAAGTCGTTTGGAATGCTGGGATAGAGGAGAGGTATGGGGCGTGGCAGAGGGTGGGTGGGACTGGGGGGTGGGTTTGGACCTTGCAAATATGCTAAGAAGTCTGGCCTTTATTGGGGAGGCAGGGGGGGCCGGTGAATGGCTTCTGGGAGGGCATGGATATTTACATTCCATTTTAGAAAGGCCTCCAGCTGCAGGGTCAGCCACTTCGCCCAAGGGGTCAGGACAAGAGGCCAGGGACGAAGAGGGGGCTGTGACATTTCAGCAGTTCAATGATGAAGGTTGTGCTAAGTTATTGGGGATGGAAAGAAAAGGGGTGAAAAAAATAGGTGGTTAGAATTATAGGCTTGATACTTTTATGTGGGCTATTTTATTGTTCTACTTTTCTCCTCCTCCTTTATGGGCAGTCCCCTACTTCCCCTTTCTCCAAATGACTCAACCAATCGCCTTAACCCACCTGCAGCTGAAACAGGTGTCCTGGAACCAACCCCACATCCAAAACCGCCTCCAAAAGGAACCGGCACCAAATCAATATTTACATGGCTTGTGTTCCTGGCAGGCAGCTGGGTTTAATCCAAAACAAGCTTTGTGGTCAGAAACCACTTGAAAGAACAGAGAGGGGGAGAGGTTGCCGGTGCGGAGGGCAGAAGGAGAGAGAGCATCAGGCAGGTGGGAAGGAGGCTGCTCACAAGGGCAGTGTGCACCAATAACTGCATTGCCTCTTTCTAACTCTATACCTTGGCTTTCTTTTGTGGTAACTAGCTCTAAGAGTAAAGCATTAGTGGTGGCCACCCGTAGCCTCAAGAGTTTTAACTTTTCTTTTTCTTTTTTTCATGCTCTTCCCTCAGCCGAGGTCCCCATGGGCGGAGTAATGGAGCTTCATCACACAAGTCTGGCAACAGCCCCCAGTCCCCACGGGAACAGGACCTGCTGTCCATGCTGTGCAGGAATCAGCTGAGTCCTGTCAACACCCATCCCAGCTATGCACCTTCTTCCCCAAGTAGTAGCAACTCGGGCTCCTACAAAGGAAGTGACTGTAGCCCAATCATGAGGTGAGTTCTGATCCCCTTTCAATTCATGGTTCCTATATGGTACGTTTTCCTTAAAAAAAAAAAAAATAGTTATGCAACTCTTATTCTGCAACAAGATACTTCTCTTTCCCACACACAAGCTCATTGTTCAAGGGCTGCTGCCGGAAGAATGCAAGCCACAATCTCTCCTCTAAGTTTCGGCAATCCAAGTAGGGGGTGGGTAGGGAGAAAAACGGCATCACTCACATGTCCCTTGAGATACCAGTTACATGTTGAGTACCACATGGTGGGTGCCAGGTTCCGTGTGATGTGCTGGGACTAGAGCATGGAGCGACAGAGCTGGGCCCTGGGCGCACCACCCAGAGGAGAAGGAGGACCTAACTCATCTCACGACAAGAACTCACTGAGATGATTCTGCAAGCTTAAGGTGGCCAGGGCTCCAGCGCTGCAGGGACCAGAGGAGGCCTCGCTGAGAAAGTGAAATTGAAGTGAGATCTGAAGGTCACACAAGGAATGAGTTAGTCCTTGGGGGAATTGGGGAGGCAGAAAGAAGGAACTGCCCATCCAGAAGGGCCAGGACAGGAGGGACGGAGGGCTGGGAGCTGGACGCAGGCCCTCTTGGCTGGAGGGCAGGCTCAGGGAACAGGGCGAGGGCAGTGGCTTGGGTTGGGGCCGCAGCCAGGGAAGAAGCTGCCAGCCGACCTCCTTCAGCCCCTTCCTCTGGGCGCCTGTCCTCACCAGTCAGCTCTCGTACAGCCTGACCGGGGCTGGGTTCCAGCTCCCGGTGGTTTGTAGGACATCAGGCACCTCTCTTACCAAACACACTCAGCCTCGTTCCTGTCAGGAGGAGGAAACTGCCCACCGAATCAGCACACTCACTCCAGGGACTGGTTTCAGAACAATTTGAATTCAGTTCCTAACAATCGGGATCTTAGAGGCACATTGTGTGGAAAGTTAGGTCATCTCGCTCCCTTGCTCCCTTCTTTCCCTCCCGCCTGCCCTCTCTCATTGTCCTTTAACATGAAACGGCTTGCTCCTCTGAGCTGGACCATTGTGTATTATTTTGTCTGAGATCACTCAGAAGCCAGAGAAAATCCTCCCTCTCCCCTGTCACCCTCCCCACACACCACCCTCACATTCCACGTAATGAACATCCTAAGGCTGGCAGGTAGATCACCATCCCCTTTCATGGTGAGGCCACACGTTTCTGAGGTTTAAGATCCTAACACACAGTCCCCACTTCTTCTCAAGCTCTTCTCTGGGCCTTCCTGGGCCTTTTTTATACTAAAGGTAACGTTCTGTTGCTTGGGCTGTTTCAGGCGGTCTGGAAGGTACATGTCCTGCGGTGAGAATCACGGCGTCAAGCCCCCCAATCCGGAGCAGTATCTGACTCCCCTACAGCAGAAAGAGGTGACGGTGAGACACCTGAAGACCAAGCTGAAGGAATCGGAGCACCGACTCCACGAGAGGTGAGTCCCAGCTCCTTGCACACTTAAGGTGGCTTAGGGCATTTGTTTGTGTTGTTTTTTCCCTTCTTTTTTTTCCTATAAAATGAAATATGAAACCACACTGTAGAAAATTAGAAAAGAAGAAATGTGACTTAATCCCTGTCATATTTCATAACCCAGTCTCTCAGAAGATGCGGCTGTGTCAGGAGTTCAGGGGACCCTCCTTCGTTAGAGGGGACCGCCTCCCTGCTCTGGGTGTGAGCAGCTTGGACAGGGGGAGCTGGGTGTGTGCCTGACTATTTTTAAATGGCAGGAACACTCAGAGGAACAATCCATACTTCCAGCCCAATGAGTCACACACAGGGAGCCCCTCGTAAGCTCTGTTTATACCAGTGAGGGAGTGGATGGCTGTGTGCACCGTGATTCCTGCCGGCTATTTCTGTGCTGAAGGAAGAGGTTCGTTATTCTTGGCCAAGTGCTAAGGTAAAAAGCAAAACAAAGCAGCCCATGTTTAGAGATCTTATCTGGGAGAGAAGAGACCTTTGACGATTTGAGCAGATGAGATTCCCTGCTTGATGGTTTTCCCCTGGAACATCTTAGGATGGATGGGCAGAGCTCCAGCCAGGGTAGCTGTGAACCCAGGGTGAGGTTGCCCAGAGTCAGACCCTACTTTCTGGAAGTCTTTGGGGGTGTGATTGGAGGAAACCATGTGAGGGTTTGAACAGTCATAGGAGGAAGATTATTCAATCCTAAACTTAAAGCAGCAAAACTGACACCATATCTTCAGATATGTCAAGAGGGTGCACACAGCCACCCACTCTCTCACAGAAATAAAGAGAGCTTACGAGGGGCTCCCTGTATGTGACCCATTGGGCTGGAAGTATGGATTGTTCCTCTGAGTGTTCCTGCCATTTAAAAATAGTCAGGAACACATCCAACTTCTCCTGTCAAAGCTGCTCACACCCAGAGCAGGGAGGCAGTCCCCTCTAACAAAGGAGGGTCCCCTGAACTTCTGAAACAGCCACACCCCCATTGTGGGGCATATATATATATATATATATATATATATATATATATATATATATATATATACACACACACACACACACACACACACACACACACATATTCTTTAAAGTGAAATGGACTTTCCTTCCACAAACTATCTATCTATCTATCTATGAAAGGCTAATATGCAAAATGTCCCCTTAGGTATTCAACCAAGAGACTGGGAGTATAATCACTCACTATGACGTGTGCTGGCCACCTGGGCATAGTGCAGAACAAAGGAAGGCCCTGGCTGGCAGCCAGAAGGCCCCAATCGGCCCTGATTGCTGACCAGACCTAAGGACCCTACTCATGCATGAATTTCATGCACCAGGCCTCTAATAGGTATATAACAGGATAACTGAGAGACTCTAATGTGTTCTAATTATAAAATTTCAAATATTAAGGTTAGGCTTTAAAAAAAATATATTGTCATTTATTGTAGAGAAGAAGAGAGATGGAGAGAGAGAGAATCAATGATGAGAGAGAATCATCAACCAGCTGCCTCCTGCATACCCCCTACTGTGGATTGAGCTCACAACCCAGGCATGTGCCCTGACCGGGAATCAAACCGTGACCTCCTGGTTCATAGGTTGATGCTCAACTACTGAGCCATGCCAGCCAGGCTCAAATATTAAGTATTGAATAAGGTAGAATGCTTGTAAAATACTTAATGCAATGTCTGACATGTAGTGATGCTCCACAAAGAAAGGGGAAAAACAATAGGATTGTTTTTTATTCTGATTCTAGTTATTAGAATTATTTTAGCCATGTTACAGTTGAGGGTGGGCTTATTTATGGGTATTAACCTGGGAAAGAAAAAATGCTCAAAACTGGCTTCATGTCTTCGGTCTCCTGCCTGTGCATCCACTGGCTCAGAGATGCCGGTCTCTCAGCCTCGGGGGTCTGCTCCTCTTCTCCCTGCAGGGAAACGGAAATCGTGGAGCTGAAGTCCCAGCTGGCCCGGATGCGGGAAGACTGGATTGAAGAGGAGTGCCACCGGGTGGAGGCCCAGTTGGCCCTCAAGGAGGCCAGGAAAGAGATCAAACAGCTCAGGCAGGTCATCGAGACCATGAGGAGCAGCCTGGCCGACAAAGACAAAGGCATTCAGAAGTACTTCGTGGACATCAACATCCAGAACAGGAAGCTGGAGTCCCTGCTGCAGAGCATGGAGCTGGCGCACAGCGGCTCCCTGAGGGATGAGCTGTGCCTGGACTTCCCCTGCGAGTCCCCCGCGAAGAGCTGCCCCCGAGACGCCCCCGTGGGCCAGACGGCCGATGGGATGTCGGTGGAAGAGCAGGTCACGGAGGAAGGGGTGGACAGTGAGCTGCTGGTGGGAGACAGCGGCGTGGATGGCTCGGATTTGCTGGATGAGCTGGCCACGGCCACCGACACCCAGGCGGACGACCTGGAGCTGCTGCATTCCACCCCGGGGGCAGAGGCCCTGGCCATCATCCCCACGGAGGCAGGTCTGGAGGAGGAGGGCCGCGTGGTGGTGGCGGTGGTGGAGCGGGCCGTGCAGACCGACATGGTGCCCTCCAGCCCCGCGGTGTCCGAGCTCCTCCAGTACATGCTCCAGCTGCAGGACCCCTCTGCCTGGCGCTCGGCATCGCCTTCCGAGTCAGCGGCTGACTCCACAGAAAGCTTCCCGGAGTCCATCTCCGCCTTGATGGTGGATTTAACTCCAAAGAACCCAAACCCGGCCACCCTTCTGTCTCCCGTGGAGACCCCAGACGCCACGGCGCAGACGCAGGCCCCCGCCAATAGCCTCATGGGAGAGCTGGACTTCGCAGGCTGCGCAGAGGAGAGGTTGGACGGCGTCCTCCCGGGGGCCGCGGGGAGGCAGTACTGGAGCCGCAGCTTCCTGGTGGATCTCCTGGCCGTGGCTGCCCCCGTGGTGCCCACCGCGCTGTGGGCGTTCAGTACTCAGAGGGGGGGCACGGGGCCCGTGTACAACATCGGGGCCCTGCTCCGGGGCTGCTGCGTGCTGGCCCTGCACTCGCTCCGCCGCGCCGCCTTCCACGTGCAGACCTAGAGGGCAGCGGCGGTGGTTCCGTGGGCCAGGGGGTGGCAGGCGGTGTGGTGCCAGGTGGGGAACCTGGTGCCGGGGGCGGGGGTAGGGGGGAGAAGCAGCAGGTCCACCCAGGCTGGTCTGTGTTCTGTCGTGTTGCTCCTCGGTGTTTGATTTGCACTATGTTTAGTGGAAGCCCGTTCCCTGCGGAGAGGAGGACCGGAGGCATCTTCCAAAGGCATGGAGACCCTGGTTCCAGGCAAAAGCCCCGCCCGTGTGGTGTAGAAAGCATGCTCGTGACCGTGACCCTGCGTGTCGTCAGAGGTGCCCGCTCTTAACCCTGGTGGTTCCGGAAGAGAAAACGCAAAGTTTGCACTTTTCCAGACAAGCTTCTGTCCTGCCGGCATGCGATCTCCCTGCTTTGCTTCGTGCTGTGTTCCGATGTGTGACTGTTCCAGCATCCCCCGTGGTCTTGTGCGTAGCAGGGGGCGGGGGGACTGTAACCAAAAAAATGAACGTGTATTTGAGTCCTGGGTTTGAAGAAGTCTTGGCTAATCCTTTAGTGTCTTCATTGGGGTTGGTAAGGTTCGAGTGTTTGCCGTTTTCTACTAAATGTAGCTCCAAAGTCTAAACATGGCTTTGTTTGTTCTTAAAAACTGTTAATTGATGAAACTGTCTGTAAGTTTACAGTGTATTAACTTATTTTTTTTTTGTTTATTATAGATAGCGTTTTATTGGAGATTGTTTGTAACCAGACACTTAGGCATGACGAAAATAAAGATTAGTGTTTACAGTTAAATAAATGTTTTATCCCCCTATAAAATTATGATCTCTGCAGTTTTATTTTGATAGATAAAAAAGATTAAATGAGCAGCAGATCCTTGCATGGTTATCAATAGTGGTCTGTGAAAATGGGATATATTTTATCTACTATGCCTTGGTTATTGCTCATCCTCCACTAAAATATTAACTCTCTGAGGGCAGGAATCTCTGTTCTATTTTGTTCATAAATTATACCAAGAATTTAGGACAGCATAATGCACATAGTAGGTGTTATGTCCACTCTGACAGGAGCCAGGCCAAGAGACATGAGGAGTGTTTAAGAGATGTTATTACATTCTCATCTCAGCCCTTCTGTTCACAGATGTAACAATAAATTTATAAGTTTTGCTTTTTAATTTCATTCAGCCTGGTTCCTCTCAGCATCGACTTAACAGTGGGGATTTTAGCACTAGCTGTTAAATTAATTTATCCTACAAATTCTTATTGGGTGCTCATATGCTGGGCACTTTACCGGCTTGGTCTTCAGTAGCGGAGGATTCTGTTTCTTCTTTGAGAGGTCTTAAAATTCTGCCTGTGAATGACATAAATTATGCCAACAAGATCATTTTAAATAGCAGTAAGTGCTTCCAAGGAGATAAACAAGGTGAAGGAAACATTAGCACTGATGGGTGAAAAGGAGCCTGTCACGTGAAAATATGGCAAATAAAAGAACAAATGCAAAGGCCAAGAGGCAGAAGAGGGCTCGGCATCTTTAGGGGCTTCAAGGAGGCCAGTGGCTGGAGCAGAGTGAAGGGGAAGGGGAGGTCTGGAGAAGTGGACAAGAAGCCAGTTCATATGGTGCCATGTAAATCATGGTAGGGCTGGGTTGAATTTATTCCCAGTGCAGTGGGAATATTTAGACAGAACAATGATATAATCTGGTTTCTCCTCTCCCCTTGTCCCTCTCTGCCCGGACTCCTCCCTCTCTTCTCTTTACCCCCTTCTCTCTGGCTGCATTGTAAGTAGGCAGGAGCAGCAGAAGCAAAGAGACCATATAGGGATCTATTGTAAATAGTCCAGGTGAGTAATTATGACAATTTGGAGGTGGATATAGAGATTAAGTTGAATACCTGAAGATATAGCTTTGAAGATAGAACTGTTGTGATTGGCTGATAGATTAGATGTAGGGAGGGGGTGAGGTAAGGTTTAAGGAAGAGAGAAATTAAGGATGGATGATTCTCAGGTTTTTAACTTGAGCACCTGTGTCAGTCAATGGTGGTGCCATTCGCTGAGAGTATAGAGAGATCGAGAAAAACAAGTTTGGGAAAATAAATTTGAGGTGTCTATTAAACACCTGTGTGGAAATGTCAAGTGAGTAATTGCATATATATACATGAATGTGAAAATCATGGGAGTTGTCAGGGCTAGAGCTATAAAATTGGGGTTCCTCAGCCTTTATTTACTATTTAAAACCATGGGATGGATGAAATCATCCAGAGGGAGTGTACAGAAGAAAAGAAGGCCAAAGACTAAGTCTGGGGCACTTGCACATTTAGATAGAGGATGAAGACCCAACCAAACAGCCTGATAAAAGGCAGCTCAAAGATAGGAGTTAAACTAGTGAATGTAATACTATGAACACCAAAAGGGAGAGTGATTCAAGAGTGGACCGGTCAATTGTGTTGAAATCCTTCCAAGAAGTTGAGTAATGTGAGAACATATACATTTACATTGGCTTTGTCCACAGAGTCTTAGTGACTGTCAAGATCATTTCTTTGGAGAAAATGGACATGGAAACCAGACTGAAGTGGGCTGGAGAGTGACCAGAAGAGAGAAAGTAGAAATTGACGCATGCAGCTAATTTTTTTTTTTGGAGGGGGCCTTCGTTTTACTGAAGGGGGTATAAGGACGAAGGTGGTAGTTACAAGGGCATATGGATACAGGGGTTTGTTTTAGTTTTCAATATTGAGAGAGATAGAGCACTTTTATACACTTGGTGATTGAGCCAAAGAAGAGGAAGAAATTGAACTAGGAGAGAGGATTAGCTGAAGGAGGGGAGCCCAGGGCAACATGAGAAGGAATGGGATGTAGGGCAGGAGGATGTGCATGTGCGAAGATGGATTGTCTGGGAAAGGACATCGCTCCCATTGGAACACACATGGGCACTCAGCACACAGCCATGCAGAGACCTGGCTGAAATGGAATGGAAGCTATTTTGGGAGGTGAATAACCGGAACTGTCCCAAAATAATGAGCCATGCTGACTCAGGTCCCTTCCTGTAGTCCAGCCCAAACCAATACCTAGAAGCTGTTATCTTCCTTACAGTCCCTCCTTATGTTTATTTTTAGTCATTGCGAAATCCACCCATTTTTACTTTAGGAAAAATTATAAGGGTGTTTTTGGTCTCCACTTGTTGCTTCAGAAATGAATGTAATCACACACAAATTCAGCACTGTTCTTTATCAAATCAAAATGGATGGAGAGATGCGTGCTGGTAAAGGAGATGGGGAGCATTATGCTAAGTGAAACAAGCCAGACAAAGATAAATATCACCTGATCTCACTTATTTGTGGAATATAATAAACATAAACTGATTTAAAAAAATAAGTCCAGAGACAGAGAAACATCAATCAGAACATCAAACCTCAAGGAAGGTAGGGGACAGTGGGAATAAGGGGAAGAGATCAACCAAAGGACTTACAATATATGCATGCATATGAGCCTAATCAATGGACACAGACAACAGAGGGGTGGGGCACGAATAGGGGGTGGGGAGTAATGAAGGAATAAAGAAACATATAGTAAAAAAATAATAATAATTTAAAAATTTTTTTAAAATAAATTGTGAGGTAACCAGAACACCCCCCCCCCCAAAAAAAAAAAAAAGAATTCTCTATGGAACACAAATATTTATGTTGAATATCAAATTGGAGGCAGCTGATCATGAAGAGCAAATTGTATTTTTGTCTTAATGGTTGCATCCTTGTCTAAACCAAATGATTCAAAGTTTACTGCATATTCTACCCACACTGAAACAAGTTGTGCAAAGATAAAACCAGAGGTCCTGGAGCAGCTACTGAGCTTTCCTTCCCCACCCCCACCCCAGCAGTTACTCGGTTTTTCTTTTTCTCTCCTGCCACCTCCATCGTCCCCAAGGTTTCAGTATGTATGCTAGTAGTCTGTGGAAAATTACTGCTTTGGTTCACAACTGTCTCTCACAAGCGAGTCCCTTGGAGTAAATACAAGATGCAGCATAGCTTGCCCTTTGAAAGCCCAAGGCGTTGGCTGCTTCTGTGGACAGGATGATCTGACCTCAGAAAGAAGTGCCTCTGCGTTGCTTCCCGTCATCTGGATGCCAGTGATGCACAAACTGGCAGGAAGATGGAAAAAAAGAACAAATCCATTCCACTGAACACACTGCTGTCCCATCAAAGCTAATGTTAAACATTCCCAGCAGTTACGTGTGCAAACATTCCAGTTTATAAGCAAAGATTTTTCCCCCCAAAGGGATCTGGTGACCTTTCCCAGTGGAGCTGTTCGGAAAGGGAGGGGGAAATGCAATGTGCTCGGATGCCAAGCGTTTCTGACATTTGGGCAGGAGAAAAAGGAAGTCTGTGATTTGCATTTGTCATCGGCCCTCCCTAAGTAGCGGTTGGGTCTGATGTGTTTTTCTTTTGAGGATTTTTCATTTTAAAAGTCTTGGGGGTAGTTTCTGACTTCTATTTTGGCTCCGTGAGCACTTTTACAAAATTCACTTACTTCTGGTCTTACCTGGCAACATGTATACAAGGAAGCAGTAACCTAGGCAACGAAACACAGCAATGTATAGCAAAGAAGGCTTGAAAGAATGCCAACAAATTCCCAGTTGTTGCAAAGAAAAACAATTAGGAAGTCCAAACAAAATAAAAAAAAATTATGTCAAGTCATTATGTGTAAACCCCTGGAAGAGATGCTGGGCTGTGACTACTGATTCCCCCACACTCACAATGATCGTGATAAATAATGGTTATAACCATGATTCCACAGAATTTCAAATTCAGAAGGTTTAACTGTGCTAAAAGATTTAAATATTTCAGTAGTATTTAAAGTTTGTAAAAGTTGTGTCTCTTAAAAATATGCATTCAACATTAAACAAATCTCCAATACATAAAACACATCAGTTTTTTGAAAACTGCCAGTTCAGCCCTGGCTGGGTGGCTCAGTTGGCTGGAGCATCATCCCATACACTAAAAGGTTGCAGGTTCGATTCCCAGTCAGGGCATATACCTAGGTGGCAGGTTCCACCTCCTGTAGGGACAATCAATGTTTCTCTCTCCTTTCCTCTCTCTCTAAAAATAAATTTAAAACTATTTTTATTGATTTCAGAGAGAAAGAGAGAGGAGAGAGGGAATAGAAACATCAATGATGAGAGAATCATTGATTGGCTGCTTCCTGCACGTCCCCCATGGGGTCGAGCGTGCAACCAGGGCATGTGCCCTTGACCAGAATCGAACCTGGGGCCCTTCAGTCCACAGGCCAGTGATCTGTCCATTGAGTTAAATAGGCTAGGACTGAAAATATATATTTTTTTAAACATATCCTTGGGTGAGGATTTAAAAACAACAACTGCCACTTCATGTAAGATCTCCTGGGTTGTCACCCTCGGTTCATTGAAAGATCAGCAATTTTCAACCGTGTGCCCCAGGAATTTTTAAAACATGCAATACCAGACTATTTAGTCAGGGGCACTGACCGCTTTTCCCTTAGATTGTCAAATAAAACAATGACAATAGCCAACACAACAATAGCTGTCCAGTGTGAATGCATCAAAATTATACCTTTTTTTTTTTTTTTGTCAGATGAGCAAAAAAAAAAAAAAAAAAGTATTTTTTGGTGTGCTGAAGAATTTTAGTAATTAGCTTATGTGTGCCATGTGGTGAAAAAGATTGAAAATCGCTGGAATAAATAGTACTCTGGGTAATGCCAAAGGACTCAACCCTCTCCTGTCCTAAACAATTGAATGCTTCTAAGCTTTTCTCCCAGCACTTCATTGGCCGTTGCTCTGTTGGCTTGACTGTGAGGAGGACCTACACGCCAAGTAGAGGCCACATAACATCGGGGATTATGCTGAAGTAAAATAATGAGGCAAAACCCACACCCGGCTGCCCTGGAGAAAGGCGTCTCCGGGGAGGCCCTGGAGTTCCTGCCCCTGATCTTCTCAGACCCGCCTTCAGGGGTATTTTCACTCTGCCTCCCTGTATGTGTCATTTCTGATCAAAGCTATTTGAATAACTGAAACATTGTTTGCCTGACTAGACTAGAGCTGTAATGGGCTGGAACATGAAAACTATTAACAACTGCAATATTCCTCTAATTTGATGGCACAGTAAGGCCCTCCCTCCCTTCCTCGCAATCAAACAGCTCACAGTGTCTGAAGTGGTTTGCCAGCATCGCCTTCTACAGCAAACAATAGGTGCTGGCATTTTAAATTGACCTTTGATTCTTCTGAACCAGCACATTATTTTTAGCTTGTTTGTGGTAGGAAGAAAATAAAAAAAAAGAAAGCAGTCTTAATAATGTTCCCATCTTCCACGGAAAGCAGGACATGGGGAAAGTTTTTAGAATGATCACCATGTACAAGCTGATTCCAGAAGGGTTCCTTTTGACTAAACAGACAGACAGTTATGAGTTCAGATGTACCGCAAAGCTTCAAGAATAAATAAAAAGCACTGTGTACTTTAAACTTAAATGAGGCAAGTGATATATATCTATATTCTTATGTATATCTTACTTTACTTACCACTGCCATAAATACTGAGCTAATTAAAAAAAAATTATTTCAGGCCCTGGCCAGGTTGCTCAGTTGGTTAGAATGTCGAATAGAAACACCAAGGTTTCTAGTTCCATCTCTGGTCAGGGAATATATAAGATACAACCAGTGAATGCATTTATAAGTGGGACAACAAATCAATGTCTCTACCTCTGTCTTTCTCTTCCCCTTCCTCCCTCTCTCTAAAAATAAAAAAAAATTAAAAAAAAATTTATTTCAGGGGCCAACATATCTAATGATGATGTCATTTTTCTCCATAAAGGTATACACTTATTTTATTCAGCAATAGTCAACAGGTTTGGAAACTGCAATGCTATAAAAATTAAGGATTCAAATTAAGATTGGAGTATTTTAACAAAACCAATATAGGAAGAAGTTAATATATTATGATGAGCCAAAACTGACATAAGAATAAGAAACCATAACAACTTCTCTCAGCATACCATGGATTCAGAGTACATCCTTTGAAGTTCCTATGCATGAGGATGATTTTTTTCTGGGCCAATCACTCTCTGAACCAGATCCTGAAGATACATGTTAAAAAAGTGACTGGACAAGTTCAGGGGCACAGTTTGTGGCATAAAGGTCCTGGGTACAGTACTGGTCTTCACATGCATGAAGCCTGTGCCCTTGGCCTCATTAGAATTATGACCCAATCAAATGAGCTAATTGGCCTGTCCAAATGTGTGAAAATAAACCACATCTCATTTTGCCTTAATTATAATATCTGACCAAGCAACCTGGAAATACATAATTGCATGGCATTGACATTTAAATATAGTATTTAATCTGGCCACTCAGTGTATATTCTATATAATAAAAGGCTAATATGCAAATTGTCCCCTCGACCAGGAGTTCAACCAGCAGGCAGGCTGGACAACTGCCCATGTCCCCTCCCTGGGTTGGTGGGACCTCATCCATGCACGAATTCATGCACTGGGCCTCTAATATATATATTATATGTAATTTTTATAATTTACATATATATATATGTAATTTTTCCCCCCACATTCACATTCTCTTCACATTCTCTCCCCTCCCCCCCCCCGAGTGGCCAGATTATTATGCGTTCAGAGATCATAATAATCTGTCCACTCAGTGTATATGTGCCACTTACAGTCTCAGTTAATCATTAAAACTAGATCCATTGAGATGATTTCCAAACTCAGGCAATTTATTTAACAAGGCCCCTTCTCTGCAGCAGCACTGAGAACCTTGCGCTCTCAGATTGGTGTGATCAGATCAATACACAGGCAAAGTACTTGCGTCAATAGCCATGGCTGACATTATGTCGGGTAGGCCACACACTTCGGTTTCTCTGTAAAAGCTCCTGCTTGTGGATTAGCAGCGTCAGCAGCAGCTCTGCAAGGGTAGAGATCTGTTGTGAGGTTTGGTAAGAGGGGTTCCTTAGAACAGCGTCTCTTCCCAGCCCTGAAGATGGAGAGTTCTAAATATTTATAACATTATAACACCATCTAAAAGAAAATGATGTACAAAAATCTTTATGATAAATAAAATTGCATTTAATGTTATTTTCTTGAAAACTAAACTCATTGGATTCTTTCATGTTGTACTGAATAAAAACAATGACAGTCCAAATTAGAGGAAACGTATGCCAACACCAGCTTCTGACAACGGAAACAGAAAAGGTAAAGCCCTGCGATTAGTCTGATTTAGGTCGGGTAATCATGGAAACAAGTGAATATTTAAAATTATTTATTTTATCATTATGCACAATGAACATTATGGACGACAAAGTTCTTTCCACCACAAAATTATTTACACCTATTTATTCAGCTAGAAACACCAACTTGAAGAGGTACTGGCATATTCCATTTGTAATAATTTGCATATAGCAAACAACTGTCTTATAATGGAACATGTTGAAGAAAATAGTCTCATAAGTCTTTTTTGTTCTTTTGAGTCTCAATCGCTTACAAGTTCAAGGTACTTTGACAGAATCCTAGTGTCCTGAATGGCCTGATGAATGCATTAAATCAAACTGTGTTTGTATTCGGGAAATACGCTTAGATCCATACAAATGTTGGTTGGGTTGTGGATTTTGTATTTCTTCCAGTGGCACTATGACATATGAAGAACATTTGTTATGAAAGTTTCACACCAATTTTGTTTTGCTCCTTTTTCATTAGCCGCTGTACCTCCTTTTCCATTTTCTTTCTTTGCTGTTCTGCTGCCCTCTTTTCTCTCTCTGCCATCTTCTGCTGCCTGAAAAGAAACATATTCCCATTTTCACTTTTAGAAAATACCACGCAGGTAAAATGGCAAATACATTCCAGAAAGAAATAGCAGTGTCTTTTTAGTAGCATCAAATGTAGGTAAAAAGTCTTCATTCTTTTCACTGCTTGTTTTATATACCATTCAGAAAAGGCTGATACTGACGATTCAATCTCCCATTCCTGTAATATTTAAAAAACAGTGAAGGATGTCAAGAACACAAATATGGCTGAAACAGGTTTGACTCAGTGGATAGAGCGTCAGCCTGAAGATTAAAGGGTCCCAGGTTTGATTCTGGTCAAGGGCACATACCTTGGTTGTGAGCACACACCCAGTAAGGGGTGTGCAGGAGGCAGCTGATCGATGTTTCTCTCTCATCGATATTTCTAACTATCTCTCTCCCTTCCTCTCTATAAAAAAATCAATAATAATAATTTTTAAAAAGCACAAAGAAAAAGATCTCATCCTGGATTTTCAGGCAAAACGATGTAGTTAAAAAACAAAACAAAACAAAACAAAAAACAATTAAGGATTGACATTTGACCAGATCTACTAATAAAGGGGCCGCATGCAGGATGTTAACTAATTGCACATCATGAGAGTAGGAGTGGGTGATGCAATAGCCAAAGGAGAGAAACAGAAGTTGGTCCTAAATCTAAAGGTTTAGGGTATGAGGAAATAAGAAACATGCAGGGTTGAGGAAGAAAGCTGTAGCACGGCATAGCATAGGCCAAACTAGGTTATATAAAGAAAAATCTAGTGTAGATTACTAGATTACCTATATACATAGTAGCAAGCTGACTACAGTGAGTGAAATGTATATACAAATCTCAATTATACTTACAACTGGGAGTAAGCAGTTAAAATGACCAAAATTCAAGAAAGCAAAGACTTGTTTTAGGCAACATTTGACCATCACCGCCAATTAACCAGCTTTAAAATAATAGTTCTTAAAATTTTAGTTTTCACTAGTTCTTCCCACTTTCAAGCAAAACTGATATTTGCACTAAAACAGTCAAAATGCCCATGGTAAGGGAGATAGGGAAAGAATCATAAAAGGCTGTCTATGTTACAAACAAACAGGATATTCAAGCCTTGATCTGGTCAGTAGCTAAAATATAAACATAAACAATTAATGTTTCTGGCACAAGAAGAAACGCAGAGATTACTGCAGACAAAATATATTTTCTGTTGATACACATCTGGAATTACTAAGGTATCAAAGTCTTTTTCCTTAATGAAATTGATCATAGTAGTGGTAAGAGTTTAGGCAACTTTTTGGCACAAAACATGTCTTCTTACTAAGATGTGGTATCACGTGAAACACTAACTTTGGTTTTTTGGTCTTGTTTCATTCAGGGTACAAGAGGATAACGTGGGAAAGAGAAGGTTTTGTTCAGCGAATGCTTAGATATTTGTGAACTCATGTGCTCTACAGTGCTGTTATTAGGATTGCTGGGTTCAAAATAAACAGCCCTTTCCCCCTTTCTTTATCCTTGTGGTTAGTAAAATCCCCAATATCTTCTAAAATACTCAGAATTCAATATCTATGATTTATCCAAAAAAGAGAGTAAAAAGACAAATGGTCTATCTTTTTGGATAGTCCACATATATATAAATGATGGCGTGTGAAATTTTAAAAATATTTCCTTTATACTAAATAACTATCAAATAGGAATGAAATATTTAAAACTCTCATAATTTTACTAGCTTTTAAAATGGACCCCTTAGTGTGTGTGTGTGTGTGTGTGTGTGTGTGTAGGGTAGGGGTGTCGAACTCAATCAGAGAAGGGGCCAAAATCTAAAATCCAGCCTAAATCACGGGCCGAATGGTTTACTGAACAGTCATAAACTGTCATTGTGATGGAAACGCAGCGGAGTGCAGTGATGACAGCGCGGTGCGGGCCACATTGCAAGGCCTGGCGGGACGGATTTGGCCCGCGGGCCTTGTGTTTGACACATGTGGTGTAGGGGAAGGGGAACCCTGAAAACAAGAACACAACCAAAAGAGAAAGTCAGTCATGACTTCTAGTTACTTAACTGCACCCTCTGCTGGTTGTTCAAGGTAATAGTAATTTATTGATAAAGACAAGCAAGGAAAATACAAAAATGAAATTAGTTTTTTTGTTAAAATAGATAAAGGGCAATTCATTTTCTATCCCTATTAAAAAAGCAATCTTTTAAAATAAAATAGCTGTATTTTACTATATCATCTTTCAAGATGCAAATATAATTTAGATACATTTAAATAGCTGGGTTTTCATCAGTGATTATAGTCAGAAACTCTCTTAAGTAAATTTTATTTTTACTCTTTCAGCTAACCCAGATAGCAAGAATTAAGTTTATTACTCGTAAGAACAAAGAAATAAGAACATACCAACCAACAAAAATAAACCTGAAACCCTCCAGTATATTTTCTTTTCAGTAGAATGGACTGTACCTGACTTACATTATTGACCTCATAGGGCTTTGAATGCGTCAATTCAGATACACTACAAATGTAGAATGCTATATAAGTTACTTTAATTCATATTTGAGGGGCTAAGCTCTATAATAGACCATGGGGAAATAAAAAGAAAAGTATAATTTCTGACCTGGAGGAATACATAGTGAAAAACCAAGTTTCAAACTAGCATTGTCACTTTCACTTCAACAGAAATGACATAGTGATGACTCACATTCTATAGTAGGACATTTCAAGAGATATGTACGTTTTACAGGGAATGAAGTATAAAGTATGTAGTGCAATATAGTGTATATATCTAAAAGATCTTATCTGCCATTAATAAAATTATTTATTTGCTTCTATAATACTATACATTAGTGGTTTGTGAGGTTTTAACCACATAAAATAGCATGCCTGGTCTGAAATTAAAAAAATCCCATACTATCTAATAAAAGAGTAAATGCAAATTGACTGTACCTCTGCTACACCCACAAGCCATGCCCACCAGCCAATCAGGAGCGAGCATGCAAATTAACCCAACCAAGATTGCTCCGGTGGCAGAACAAGCAGAAGGCTTGGGTTTCCCTGGCAATGGGGGAAGCCAAGCTTCCTGCACGCGGTGGCTGGCCCTGGCCTCTACTCCAGGCTACAAAGTTTCAATTATAGAAGATAAATAAATCCCCCCAAAACGGCTGTAGCCATGGAGCAAGCAGGAGGCTTGGGTTTCCCCAGCGATGGAGGAAGCCAAGCTTCCTGGTTGGCCCAAACCTCTGCTCAAGACTACAAAGTTTCAATTATAGAAGATAAATAAATCCCAAATACTAGGGCCTCCACTTGGGTCACCAAGGGGAGTGGCTGGCCTGCAAACTACCACAGGCCCCTCTCCCAGGCCGGCCCATGCCCCAACGGAACCCCAACCCTGATCCAAGACACCCTTCAGGGCAAACCCATGCACCAGGCCTCTATCCTCCTATCTAATAAAAGAGTAATATGCAAATTGACTGTCACTCCAACATATAAGATAGCTGTCACAAAATGGCCAACAGGTGAGGTCAGTTGGGAGGGACCAGGCCTGTAAAGGGAGGGCATTTGGGGGTGACCAGGTCAGCAGAGGAGGGAAGTTGGGAGCAACCAGTGTTCAGGGAAGGGCAGTTGGGAGGGACCCAGGCCTGCAGGGGAGAGCAGTTTGGGGGACCAGACTTGCAGGGGAGGGCAGTTAGGGGTGACCAGGCCTGCAGGGAAGGGCAATTAGGGGCAAACAGGTTGGCAGGGGAGCAGTTAGGCATCAATCAGGTTGGCAGGGAGTGGTTAGGGGGTGATCAGGCTGGCAGGCAGAAGCAGTTAGGGGCAATCAGGAAGGCAGGCAGGTGAGTAGTTGGGAGCCAGCAGTCCGGGATTGTGAGAAGGATTGTGAGAGGGATGTCGGATTGCCCATTTAACAGGCAATTGGACGACATTCCTTGAGAGGTCCCAGAATGGAGAGGTGCAGGCTGGGCTGAGGGACACTCCCACCCCGTTACGAATTTCATGCACCAGGCCTCTAGTATTATAAGAGGTTCAAATGAGAATGAAGAAAAATGTACCATTTGGCAGAAAAAGCTTCCTGACATCAAGTGTAACATGAACAAATCTAGTCATCCTACTCATGTTGCAATGTAAACATTACTCAAATACCTCAGAACTTCTTCTGCTTGCCAGGCTGCATCTTCCCCTTCTTCCCATGCATTGGTATTTTCCTGCCAGGTATCCAAGTCACCTAATTCAGGCTACAATAAAAAAAACTATAATAGTAAAGAGCCATTCTTACTCCCCTCAGCAGTCAACAAGAGCATCTTTTAAAATATAATCCAGACCTTATCATTCCCCTGTATCTGCTCCAGGTCCATTCCATGTCACCATGTCCTAACAAGGCCTAAATGACTTGGCTCTGGTTTGCCTACAACTGAGGGGTTCCTGACTTTCAGCATTCACCAGTCCAGGGCAAGTCCAGCTTTTTTCCTCCTTTGTTTTAAATACTCCTTTAACCTAACTTTTCTTTTTTGCCCACTATAATAGTTTGAAATTGACAAGAATAAACCAATTCTGTTTCTCTTTCCAGTAAAAGGAAGGGGTCAGGGTCAGGGTGGCGGAAAGAGAAGACTGAATTAGAGATGCTTGACTGGACAACTCTGTGCTGGAGATGAAGTAAAAAGCCAAGTTTCAAACTAGCACAGTCATCCTCATTCAGCAGAAGAACTGTATAGATTTTCAGTGACACTTACTCTGGGGGTCCCAGGCAAAATCTACACGTTACTGGAGTGCTTCCATTTTGTCCTTCTTTTCCTGTCCTACTCACCAATAGGCTGGCCACTATTTCCCATTGTTTCCCAGCCCAGATTCTAAAAGTTCACTTTTTCTTCCACAGAGAAATGAAAATGCTCATTGTGGCATGTTTCTAGTAAGGCATGGCAGTGATTATGTGCATAAAATAACAAGAACCAATCTGTAAACAAATTTATTATGTTCTCTCTTTCAGCACTTACACCTAAAAATGAAAAGATGTTAAATGTTCTCCTTCTATCCATAAATGTACTATCCTATTGACATTGTTTTAAAATTATTTCTAATTATCTATTTAATATAAATTTCTAAAAAGTAGAACTGTTAAATCAAAAAGATTTTTAAAGCCAGTGAAGCAAAATACAATGACGCTCTTGAAAAGTTGTACCAATTTATCCTCCCAACAGCAGTAGGTAAAAGCTTGCTTCCTTGTACCTTACTGGCAATTATTTTTTCTATCTCTGCTTTAACATCTAAATATGGTGTTTTATTATTTTATTCTGAATTTGAGAACTAGTAAGATCTATTTTTCTTCATGTTATTAGGTTACATCTATTTTATTTATAAATTTATCCATTTTTCCATTGAGGAAAATTTATCCATTTTGACTTTTACTGCATATAACATTTAGATATAAAAAAGTGAAACTACTAAGACTACAAAAAGGAGTGATATCTGATCCTTTAGTAGAGATGGCCTTCTAAGTAAAAAAGAAAAAATTGTAAAAGATAAGGCAGATCTGCTATATAAAACTTAAATATACCAAAAATATCCTACCCAAAATATAAAGCTGAAATACTATAAAAGATGACAGAAAAAGTTAATATCCTTAGTATAAAAAAAGAGCTACCATGACAATACAAATGGTAGGCCTCCCTTCTTATCCCCCCAAAAAATTAGAATGTGCAATTTAAAAGAAGAAGCTTATTTGTGGAATGGGTGATAAAACATTTTTGTTGTTGCCGAAGCCGGTTTGGCTCAGTGGTAGAGCGTTGGTCTGCGGACTGAAAGGTCCCAGGGTTCGATTCTGGTCAAGGGCATGTACCTTGGTTGCGGGCACATCCCCGGAAGGGGGTGTGCAAGAGGCAGCTGGTCGATGTTACTCTCTCATCGACGTTTCTAGCTCTCTCTCTCTCCCTTCCTCTCTGTAAAAAATCAATTCAATATATTAAAACATCAAAACATTTTTGTTCTAGTGAACAAAGTGCAGGAGTCTTCTACCATTCTCCCCTTATTTTGTCTGCTTGGGAGGAAAAGCATTGGAGACAACCTCTACCTACACTTTTTACCCCTTCCCAACTCTTTTAGCAGTTATATATTTACAACTTTATAATGAGCTATAATTATGTTATAATATCATATAATTACTGTTAGGTGGCATACACTGAGGACTGTATGCCAATTCACTGAAGAGTTTTGAACAACTTTACCAATATGGAGCATACATATATGAATAATATTTATAATTTAGAAATAAAAAATAAAGAATTGCACATTCTGGTGTTATGCTCTTTTAGAGAAATGTCTATGGTGCTATTGTGCTATCACATAATCATGTACCTGCATAGAAGTTATCTAAATCTGTAATATTTATTATGTGTATGATCATTTATTTAACATTGTACCTTTCCCATGAGAATGCATTCTTCTGAGGCAAGGACCTGCCTGTTTTGTTTACTTTCCATGACATTACTAGCACCTACTAGTAGCATAACATCTGGCATTAGTAAAAATAGTGTTTGATCACTGAATAAAAAATTTATATAAACATAGGACCCCTGGACAGAGACCTCAGAAGCATCTGTGTACTTTAAACAAATATGACAGATGAACAGACAGACAGATGTAGTGGTTTAAAACTATGCCTGCAAATTTTTTGATACTCCCTTTCAAGAGGTGGCACTTAGTTCTTCTCCCCTTGCATGTGGGCTGGATTTAATAACTCCTAATGATTAAAATATGACTGATAGAGCTAAGTCATAAACAGGCATTGTAGCTTCCCCCCTACATGCTCTCTTGTTCTCAGGGATCACTGTGTTCAATTCATTTTGATTGTTTTTCTTCTTTAAAGAAAACAGAATCAAACAATCCTTGCTTAGATACCATTAACATACTTACTGATTGATGAATAAATGGCATGTCTTGCGTAGCTGCTAATCTACTAGAGAAGCCTGTGCTACCATCTGGGACGCCAAAATTTAATGGTTCTCTCTTCTTAATAATGATCTGAAAGATTAATTGAAATAGAATTATAGGAATATTTTATACATCACTACATAAAAACGGACAAAATAATTAACTAACCAAGCATTTTATAATTATTTTAAATATGTTCTACCTTTTTTAAAATTTACAATATAAAAAAATTTAATCTATATAAGTACCAAAATTCTAAATTGTCATGCAAATCAGTTGCATAGTGAGAAATATTGTATTTCTCTTAAAAAGTAATAATACATTTTCCTCTTTCCCCTTCCTCTTCCCTTGCTTTCTTTCTTAGACCTTAGATCCCCAAAATGTTATTAGGCACTTAAAGCTATATCCTATTAAAATATAACCAACTCTCTATGCATGTAGATATCTATAAATACATTAACTTTTTCAAGCTAGTAATATTGCTTTTGTAACTTAAAAGCATTTTCATTCTAATTAACTTACTAAGGTACTATTGTACTATACTGAATTACTATTAAGAGCAGCAATATACTTCCAAAATACTAAAAAACTCACTTAAATTCCTTGAAAAATACACATATTAATGCTTTTAAGCACTGAGCCATTTAGATAACTCAACAAAAAACAATTATGATTACAGCATGTAAATGTTATCAGCCTTGAGCCGAAACCGGTTTGGATCAGTGGATAGAGCGTCAGCCTGCAGACTGAAAGGTCCCGGGTTTGATTCTGGTCAAGGGCATGTACATCCCCAGTAGGGGGTGTGCAAGAGGCAGCTGATCGATGATTCTCTCTCATCAATATTTCTAACTCTCTATCCCTCTCTCTTCCTCTCTGTAAAAAAAAATCAATAAAATATATTTAAAAATAAATAAATAAACTTGCAAACTTATTTAAATATATTTAAAAAATGTTATCAGCCTTGAAAATATAAACATATAGCTGAAACTAGATGAAAAGTAGAAGAGGGTGAAAAACTCTAACAGAAATGTGGAACAAATAAGTTCCTCATTTATAAAGCATATTTATAAAAAATATTTTCTATGCTTGACTGAACAAGAAATGAAAGTTTAGATGATGTGTGTATTTTATAAATAGCAAAGTAACTGGTGAGGTATACTGGAATAATAACATTATAAGATTTGAAAGAGGGGGAAGAAGGGTATGAGTAGTATGAAATAAATCCTCATTTACCAGAGTATAAAATCAATGGACAATGTTTGTGAATGGTAAATCAAGGCACAGCAATTTAAGCAAGATAGATAGTAGACAGATAGAGAAATACAAATATAATGAAAACACTAGAAGCCTAAACAGGAAATTATGTATGAGTGGCTGCTTCTGAAAAGTATAACTGCCTATGAAAAGTGATGGGGCAGAAGTTCTGTGCTTTTCAATATAAGCTCTTTTGTAATATATGATATTTTTTTAAGTATATGTACTACTTGATTAAAAAAAAGAAAAATACTCAACCTTTGTTCTTTTTTTTAAATAATTCTGTATATCTTTAAGTGATCATCCATATTCAACTCAAAAGGGATTAAAATATGGATGACTAACACAAAACTATAATTACTCTAAGTTTTCATAGACTTATAATGTTTTGTCTCAGTTTTATAATGGTTACAAACAACAGAAAGCACTTAGCTTATAGACATCACTAAATTGTGTACACTTTTAAGGTAAGAACTGTACCTTGTTTCCCCGAAAATAAGACAGTGTCTTATATTAATTTTCGTTCCCAAAGATGCGCTAGGTCTTATTTTCAGGGGATGTCTTATTTTTCCATGAAGAAGAATACGGTACACATTTATTGTTAAATGAAAATAAAGGAGCCGAAACCGGTTTGGCTCAGTGGTAGAGCATCGGTCTGCGGACTGAAGGGTCCCAGGTTCGATTCCGGTCAAGGGCATGTACCTGAGTTGCAGGCACATCCCCAGTAGGGGGTGTGCAAGAGGCAGCTGGTCAATGTTTCTCTCTCATCGACGTTTCTAGCTCTCTATATCTCTCCCTTCCTCTCTGTAAAAAATCAATAAAATATATTTTAATAAAAATAAATGAAAATAAAGGAAACTTATTACCTGTATACGGTACGGTAGTATGGTAGTTGTCAACACAAACCAGACAAACTGTGAATCCTACAGTATCAAGAATTTACTCATTTATTCAATGACAATCATGTCATCATCTTCTGGAACATCATCATAACAATCCAATTCCTGAATTTCCTGGTGAATTTCTTGTGACTCCATTTCTTTCAGAATCAGTGGGACCAAATCTCTCATGTTTACCTGGGGGGGGCCTTATTCTTGGGGGGGTGCCTTATATTTCACTCAGAGGAAAATGTGTAAGTAGGTCTTATTTTCGGAGGATGTCTTATTTTTGGGGAAACACGATATTTTATTTAGCTTAGTCTCCACAAATTCTGATATACAGCAGAATTTATCTAAATATAATTTTTAAAGGTGTACAATTACTAGATCTGTGTCTAGGTCACTTGAATATATAACATCTCACCTTTAACATGACAGACCACAAATAATCAGAAATAGGTTTTCTAACAGTACTAGTTATACTGTTGAATTTTAACTATGGGTATATGAAAAGCAGTTTCACAGTTTAATTGCTAAAAACACAAATCTTTAACTTACTTTCTGAGTTTTCCTTATAGTTGGTGTCATGTCCTTGAAATAGTCAGGTTCCAGTTGTTCCAAAGCATCTTGTTGTGTTGCCACATTCCCATTCCCTCCTTCAATCTTTATACTTGTGGGAGCATCATCATCCCAGGAAGTCCACTCTTCAATGTCTGTCTAAATTTAATTGATCAATACTGTCAGCCATATCGGGAGAACCTAACTGGCATTTCATTCATTGTTTATTAGAAAAACGGACTTGCTAAAACCTTAGGTTTCAAACTTTTTTGACCAAGAGGAAAATATAAATTTTATTTCACATACCAAAACTACATCAAAAGCTAAAAAAAAACAAAAAAAAAAAAACTTTTACTTTGAGTTAGACATTCTTATATCCATTAAAACAAAATAAAAGCAAATACTTTGAAAACTGAACTGCAGTCCACAAAAGGAGGATTGGACTTACAACCTAAGCCTAATCAGGTTGATTGCCTGATTACATAGAATATCAACATTCTTGATAGTATTTAAACAAGGTAAGAGTCTCAAACATATTCAAAATATCAATGAAATAACCCAAAATTATTCAGCACACAAAAATCAACAAACCTCAACTCATATGGAAAAAGTCAATCAACAGACACCAATCCCAAGGTGATATAAATGTTGACTAAGACTTTAACTATTATAAAAGTGGTCCAACAAGCAACCACAAACTAGCAATACTCTTGAAACCAATAAGAAAAATAGAAAATCTCAGCCAAACAATAGGAAATAAAATAAAGAACCAAGTAAAAACTTTAGAATCAAAATATGTAACAACAACAAAAATCCGAATTAATTTCATGATAACAAAATGGTCTGAAATCGAGTTTGAAAATATGGTTCCAAAACATTGATTCAACCTTTGAAAAAAATTTACCTGTTTTGGAACTGATGAATAATCAACTGTAGTTGGCAAAGTTATTTGGTCTCCACTTAATTTCCGTCCTCTGCCAGTTCTACAAAAAAGGAAGAAAAAATTTATTTCAAAAACTATCTAAACAAGCATAGGTAAAAGCAGTATGGACAGTAACTTAAGGCTTATAAAAGATCTTTGCCAATTTTAGAATTAGGTACCTTAATAATTAGGAGTTGTTCATTAAGATAAAAATAAAAAGCATGCATCAGATGAAGGGATCTAACTAGGAAGAAGAAAACAGGTCAATTTGAACATAAAATTTATTTACCTGCATATTAATCTCTTCAGGAATGAGAATAATGTTGCTAAGCAGGTACAAACTTTAAATAACCGAAACTGTGTGATAGCCATGATGGGACTCAAAACCTGTGGAGAATGCACAAAAATAAATGCATTAAGTTGATTTTACAATCTATATTCCTGTTCTGAAGTCAAGCTTAAAAGTCCTATTATAAGCTGTGAAAAACAGGCATATTTTTTTTAACTTTTCTTTATAAACCACAAATATAGCACAGTAAATTTAAAATTAAAATGTCAATCATGGGAGGTCCAGGATGGTGGCGGTGGAGGACACTGAACTCACTTCACCCCTTCCCAAATATACACATATAGACAACAATGTCTCCTGTACAACCGAGGGCTGAATAATCAGCCACTGAACAAGAGGAAGATACCAAATAGAGAAGGCTCGGAACCCTCAGGAGCTGTAGGGAGCATCATTGTTTAAGTTTCCCTCCACATTCATAAGGTGGGAGGAGCTCCATTGCTGGGATTTGGATTACCTGCAAGATCACTACAGCTGTTCCCAGCTACACTGCCCCGAGCCTTTTGCTTCCTGAACAATGGGATCAAGCAGGAAAAACAGGGTGTCCCTGAAACACTGAAGAAAACTAGCAAACCACAAGGGAAGAGAGCAAAAGATGAATAGAAAACTATCAAAACCAAAAACCAAATAACAAAATGGCAATAATATTTATCAATAATCACTTTAAATGTAAATGGGTTAAATGCTCCAATAAAGACATCGAGTGGCTGCTCACAAGAGACTAACTTCAAACTGAAAGACATACAGAATGAAAGTGAAGAAATGGAAAAAGATATTCCATCGGAAAATAAAAGATGAGGTAGCAATACTCATATTAGACAAAATAGACTTTAAAACAAAAGAAAATGTAAAAAAAGACAAGGAGATATTACATAATTATAAAGCGGCCAATCCAAGAAAAGACTATAACAATCATAAATACCTATGCATCCAACATAGAAGACTGAAATATATGCAATTACTAATGGTCATAAGGGAGACATCGACAGTAATATAATAATAGGGAATTTTAATACTTTACTCACATCAACAGTTCATCCATACAGAAAATTAGACCAAATTGACTTAATAGACATATGCAGAACAAATCATCAAAAACTGCATAACACACTTTTTTTTATAATGTACATGGAATATTTTCCAGAATAGATCATATATTAGACCACAAAAATAGATAATATATTAGACCATGTACATGAACATTTTCCAGCATAGATTACATATCAGACCACAAAGCAAGGCTTAAGTAATTTGAGAAAACTGATATGTCAAGCATCTCTTCTGACCACATGGCATGAAACTATTGAGAGGATGTGAATATTTTGTCAATAATAGATCCACTTTTTCTGATTTCCAGTTATCACTGAAGTCATTCAATTTGAAAAATTCTTATTGAATGACACACAACATTAGTGGCAAGGTGATAACCCTGTCCAAGACTATGACTAACACAAGTATGTCTGCTTTCATCACTTCTAGTCAACATGGTAGTGGAAGTTCTGGCCAGTGCAATCAATCAAGAAAAGAAAAGGCATTCAGATTGGAAAGGAAGGAGTAAAACTGTATGTATGTAGAAAATTCAATGGAATCTACAATCAAGTGTATTTTTTATGTATTTTTTAATTGTTTCAATTAAAACTTTGAAACAATTATAAGCACAATATGAAATACTAGCAATTAAGAATTTTGTCACTCTGCAAAACATTTGCTTTTGTGATTAATGAGAGAGGAACTAATATTCACTGACCAGGTACTATGTGTCAAGCACTATCTAATATTATCTCACTTAACTCATAAAATCATCTTAGGAGATAGATATTATTGCTCTCATTTCATAGAACTGCACAGAAGAGTAAGCATATTTCCATGTTCCTATACCCAATGACTTTGATTCAAACCTAGGTCTATTTTTAACTCAAAAGCCAAGAATACCTCACTCACAATAAACATTCTTAGAAATTTGGTGATATTATAATTTCCAAGATAAATTTCCCAACCAGTTGCATTTAAATGGGGAAACGCAATCAAGTTAACTATCAAGCAACACTTGATTTTATCAATTACACTGATTTGCAGACAGGAATATTCTTTGGGACTCATATTTACTTAATGTTCCAATTCAATTCAGTGTAGATATATAATCAACTCAATTCAATTCATTGAAGATATATACTTAGCACCTACTATGTAACAGATTCTACAAAGAATGACGGGGAATACTGACTCAGTACCTAGAAACTGCTCACTGCTCAGCTGTCACGGCTTGTGACAATGCAGGGGAAGGAGGCAGAGTCTCCATCAATCTTGCTTAGTTCAGCATTTTAGGTCTTAACCAATGCCAAGCACAGAGCAGGGGACTCGGGTGTTTGTTGAATGGAGAGAAATTAACATTCTTTGAGCACTCAACATGTCTAGACCAGAGATTTTCAATCTTTTATCTCACAGCACAAACTAATAAAATTCTGCAGCACACCATTTTTTTTGCCAATGTGACAAAAAATTAATTTTTATATTTTAATAAAAAAAAATAATTAGGTATAATTTTGATTCGCTCACACCAGACAGCTATGGTTGTGTTGGCTGTTGTCATTTTTAATTTTGACAACCTAAGGGAAATGAGGCCAGCGCCCCTGACTAAAATAGTCAGGTATTGCATGTTTTAAAAATCCTTACAGGAGACCAGTGTGCGTTCTATCACCTCGCTGGAATCTTATGGACAGATGAAAGTGAAGCTCAGATGCACTGGCCCAGGAGTTAGAGGGACTGAACCCCAAGCCCAGGCTCTTCCCTCACCACACCCCACCTGGGGAACCTTGAATGTTGCTGGTTTCCTCACCGCCGCAGTTTTGCTTTTTGAAATGGTCTTCAGATCACCAACTCGACAAGCGTGTGCCAGGCTAACTTCCACGTTGGTTGCCTCAAAGCATTTTCTAGAACTCAGATATGCTAATATCATCTAAACTTAAACTTAGGACGTCATTAAAAATTACTAAGAATACACAAAAACTTGAGATTAAAGCAGAATACATTTCAGAACCGTGAAACAGCCAAATCCTCGGGGCTTTTGTAGAAATGACATCCCTAGGAAATCAAAAGACATGCAGACACCTCAGCTACAAGGGGGAAAAAAAAAGATCCACCTACAATTTTACAAAAAGAATTTTGCATCAGACATGGAAAGATTAAAATCATCTTTCCTCCCTGTAATCCAATGTAAACTTACTAGGGACACGGTATTACGATTTATTAAACAAGTCAAGCCACACTCTGGGCTGGTACACACTGGAGCCAACAATTCACCAAGGACTGCATTTCTACAACTGCCATACACTGCGAATGTTTTCAATACCAACATTTGGGGGGAAAACAAAACATATGATTGGATACAGCACAGAATATCCCCAATTTAAGTTTGCAGCTCTCTGAAGTAGGTGAAGGATTAGCATAAGGCTCCAAAGATTAAAAAAAAAACAAACAACTCTGCTTGAAATGCACTTAAATTGCAAAAAAAAAAAACAACCACAGGTTGGCAGCGGCAAAGGGAAAGGGGAGCTGCACACAGCAGGCGAGAAGCGGGTCCGAGTCCAACGCGGAACCGGATCCGGCGGCGCGTGAAAGGCCAGGCCCGCGGATACGTGGCACCGCGGAGGCTCTGCGAAAGGCGGGCTGCAAGTCTCCAGGAGGACTCGGAAGCAAGGAGTTTCTCAACTAACACGCTTCATCACGCCCGATCACCCGCCTGAAATAACTACCTGGCTTACAAACACACACAAGATCATGCCCACTGCCCAGATGGGAGAAAGGAACAGCGTTCCCAGGTTGCACCATCCGACGCCACGCGCGCGGCGGACGGGGAGACGCTCCCAATGGCTCCAAGTTGGTGCAGGTGGGCTGGGAAAATTCGGATTTTGGGGATTTTTTTGGGGGGTAAAAATCTGCCTGGGAAAGGAGCAAGGCCTGCAAATTCCCCTGCGGGGGGAGGGAGGCAGGGAATGGGGGTCCCGGAGTCCCCCCGGGAGGGCGCCCCGCGAGCCCATCGCCCCGGCGTGAGCGCGGCGTGGCCAGGGCTGCACGCCCGGGGCCCCCTCCGACCGCCCATCCCTCACCCCGCGGGCCGCCCTGACCCGGAAACAGTACCCCAGCCTGGCAGTTGGTGTGAGGGGAAGGTAGGGGAGGAGGAGGGGGGGGGGGGGACACCTGCGGGAGGGGCGGGGAGGCGGGAGGACGCGGAGTGCGGAGCGAAGAGGAGGGGGGCTGACCCGAGAAGGGCAAGCCAGAGGGCACCCCGAGGCCAGGGTTCCCCGAGGATGGGGATGGGGAAGAAGGGGAAGGGGAGCCCCTCGCGGGCGCGCGCGAGCCGCACACACTCACCTGCCCCTCCCCCTCCCGCCCGCGCGCCCGGCGGAGGCGGCTCGGAGCTGCCGCGGGCCGCGCGCACGCGCGCACACACGCTCGCCAAGGCGCGTGCGCGCGCGCTGCCGGTCGCCTCTTCGGGCCCGCGCCCCGCCGGCTCAGTCCCGGCCCCGCTCATTCAGAGCCCGGCGCGCGCTCCGCCGCGAGCGCCGCCGCCGCCGCGCAGCTGCCATGGCCGCCGCCTCCGCCTCCGCCTCCTCCTCCTCCTCCTCGGGAAACCCTCCCCCAGCTCCTCCCTCCACGCCCTCCTGGAAGAGGCCTCTGGGTTTTCTCCGGGCCCGCATTTCCGCCTCCCGCCCCGCGTCCCGTCTGGCCCAATAAGCGAGAGGCTGTGGGCCTGGTAGCCAATGAGCGCTTGGGGGCGGGGCTAGAGGCATCAGTGTGGGCGGAGATTGGCTCTAGTGGGTGGACGTGGTGGCTGTTGCTGGCTGTGCGGGCAGCACCGTAGCGGAGGTCCCGGGTCCGATGCGCGTGGTTCTGCCTCCCATGGCGTGTCTGGGCTCCAACTATGCCCCTCACTGTCCCATCCTCCGCCCCGGGGAGCCAGGGGAAGCAGAGTGTAGGCAGCAAAATCGGAGGGAGCCCCCCCCCCCCATGTGGCCCTATGATCTGAGTGTGGGTGGAGCTCAGTTACTCTGCCGCCGAGGGGTGCGGAATGCTCTTTCATTTCGGATTTAATTTTTGGTTGAATTTCCTGTACCTGGAGGTTAAAAAAGTGGCACTTCCCCCGCAAATCTAGCCATTTGTTCCTAAACGAGGGTGTTCTTTCGTTCTGTGCTTCTCTCTTTGAAATCTGGTGTGTGTGTGTGTGTGTGTGTGTGTGTGTGTGTGTGTGTAATCCTGTTAATATGAAAAGGCTCGGGGTCTTTGCTATTGTGGGGCAAGGAGCCCTCAGGAAACTCACTGCTCCCCTGTTGGCAAAGCGACTGGTGAGCGAGGATAGACGTTGATATCGTCAAAGGCTGAAAGCAGTCCATGCAGATGGTTCCCCAACCAGCGTTTTCCTTGTTCTTCCCCCCCTTTGGACAACAGCTGCCTGTCTTGGGTCACCCTGACCTGCACCCGCCTTACTGGCTTAACTTTTCTGCAACCACCATCCCAACCCCATTCCAAGCTGTACCACATTTCCATTAATACTTGTTTATTCCCAAAAGGAGAAGAAGGGGGATTTTACGACTCCTGCTCTGAAATGATTCTGTGTAACTTTGGATGTTATTTCAACTAGAAACTTCAGTTTCCATAGCAGTAAGATGGCCATAACAGCCTGGCTGGTGTGGCTCAGTAGGTTGCGCATGGGCCCCCCCGTGCACCCAGGGGCCGCCAGGGTTCATTCCTGGTCAGGGCACATGCCCGGGGGTGACGGGTAGGTCCCATCCGATGCTTACTGGAGGCAACGGATCTATGTTCCTCTCTCGTATTGATATTTTTCTCTTTCCCTATCCCCTTCCTCTCTCTAAAAATCAATAAAAGCATATTCAGAATGGCCATATTAGTTCCTACTTCGTGGAATGGCTAATGCTTGCAAAGTTGTAAGGGCAGAGCCTGGTACACAGCATTCACAGGTAACAGCTGTTACTACCTCTACTACTGCTATTACTGCTACACTATATCATTCCCAATTATTACCCTTCCCCGACTCCCCTAAATCCTCAGCAGTCCCTTAAACACCTGCACTAACCTTAATATTTTCAAATAATAATTCAGAACTCCAAAATGATTGTGAACCCCAGACCTCCAATAATCCCAAATACCCTATATCCTGACATAAACATGTTTTCAACATGTTTTTTCTTAGAAATGTATATCTTTGCTGCAAATTGTTTATTAAACTATGATATTGTCTTTTTTTTTATAGTTCTTGTTTTCTCTATTAAATGTGCCATTTTCAAGTGACACAAAGTATATACTTTTCCAGAAAGTTAGTGAAAACTTGTTTCCCAACATAATAAAACAAAGTTTGCTAAAGATTGTACAATTGAAATTTACTTTTAAAATTCTTATAAGAGACTTTTAAAATCATCTTTAAAGTAGTAATCCCCGAATTGGGGATTGATTACGGGTGCCAATAATTTGGGATCTTGCTTGGGAAATACCTCTTAGGAGTGTGAAATTTGAAGTCCTACACTCTGACCAAGGCTTGGTAGGGTGAGTGAGGGTGGGGACTACCAAATATCAAGTGAGGGGCCAATAAGGGGTGGAAGCTGATGGAATAAAGATTTATTGCTGATTGCCCCTACTTCATGGGGTATAGTTAATTCTACCTGCTCTGTGTCAAGAAGCCTTATGATTGGCCTCTACCCAATCCCCAATGGCCAGCTTTGATTTATTTGGTCTTGACTTATTCATTCTATCAGCTTCCAAGCCACCGCTTACTCTCCCAGTTCAAAGCCTGTACAGGCCTCCTTGTTCTGCGTTCTCCAGCTGGGTCTCAGTACCGCCCTGTCCACTGACCACTGTCTCTTCCCAGGAGGCGGGGCAGACCTTGCAAACACAGCCCAGTGCTTCTGCCTCTCCCCCACCATGGTTCCCTGGCTTTTCACTAAAGGGATGGCTTTCCCCTAACGCACAGCTTTAGACCTGCTGTTCTAACTTGGACATTAGAGGCTTTTTATTAATGAGCAGCTGTTCACAGTTGAATACAGATCATAAAGTCACATTCATTTCATGATCAGGCAAAACAAAGCCTTGTAGCTCATCCAGTAACAGTTTTGAACAGATACGTTCGAAAACAAAGGATTATCTGACGATAATTTTAATGGCTTGTTTTATTGGTCTTTTTAGTCTAGAGAATTTTGCTTTCTTTCAACATAATGCATTTTAATATTCTGGAAAATTATAATTTATTTTTAATATTATCGCCATTCAATAAGGTCAGTTGCTTCATAGGAAAATAAAGTCTGAAAAATTTTTTTTTATTTCTTTTCTACTAAAGGGAAAATTAACTTCTATGAAGCATTCAAATAAATATTTCTCATCATAATATTACTACCTGATATATTCAATTATTAGTAATTTTCATTGCTAAATACAGGAACACCCAAGATAAGAACAATTAAGAATTAACCAATTCCCTTCAGAAGAGGCCTGAATAGGCATGAAGGAAACTAATGGATGTCTTTTACTAGAAATGAGTTCAAGTAACAAGAGGGGGTAAACCATTCACATCTATGTTCCAGGTGTGAAGTTCAATGTCATTACTTGGCTAATGTCCACATTGTTGTTAGAGCTCTAATATAGTTCAGCTGTATTATGAGTTAAGTGGACAATTGGAGCAGGTCTGGTCATCTGAGGCCATTTATTATTTCTAAGGATAAATATGTTGAGATGCATACAATCAATATAAAACAATAGTTTATAAAATGATCTATATTGTGTGTGAACTGGAAACTTTAAAATAAAACAAGGCAGCCAAAACCGGTTTGGCTCAGTCGATAGAGTGTCATCCTGCAGACTGAAGGGTCCCAGGTTCGATTCCAGTCAGGGGCATGTACCTTGGTTGCGGGCATATCTCTAATGGGGGGTGTGTGGGAGGCAGCTGATTGATGCTTCTCTCTCATCAATGTTTTTGGCTCTCTATCCCTCTCCCTTCCTCTCTGTAAAAAAATCAATAAAATATATTTTTAAAAACACACAAACAAAAATCATAGAAAAAAATAATAATAATTAAAAAAAAACAACACAAGGCAAAACAACAATGGAAGCCTAATCCATTCAACTACAATATGGTAGACATTGTGGCTTTTGCCTTAAGGCTTAAACCTGAGTCTGTTTTCTTATCTGCAAGATTTGGTTACTAATTCTAGCCTTGTGGATTTATTTTGCAAATATGTGGAAAATGGTGTGGAAACAAAGCAATAACATTAATGAGAGCTTTCAGGCATACATGTTTATCATCTTCAAGTCCAGCAGAATCTAATTTTAGCTTCAAGAAAAACAGGTGAATATTTCTCATCAGCAACCAGAAATAGACATGTTTGTTAGTAACACGTTAAAAAATGGGAAAGAGGAGGGAACACTAAACTTTGAAGCTATGATCTGAGTACTTTTCCCCATCCCTTTGTCCCTTTGCCTGAAAGACAAGAGGGGGAAAGCAGCTGTTGGAAGGAAAGCACCTGTACAGCCCTACCTCTCCCTCTCCCTGCCTTTTCCCTACTCCTGGGATATTTTCTCCATAAATAGTATGTGTTGCCAAGTTTCATCCATTTTTTTCTTCTCAGTGTCCATCATTTTAGCACACCAGGATTATCATAACGATGTCCTAACTGGTATTTTATATTTTCCCCCTTCCCCTAAATCGGTTTGGTCCTTTGCTGTATGATTCACTTAAATATTTTTAAAACACAGACTTCTTCATGGTAAGGGTCCTGCCTTTGAAATAGAAATGTGCTATTGTCCATCAATTCAAATTCACTTGGGAGGATACCAGTCTTGATTGTTGCTTTTAAACTCTTCATTTCAACCTGCTGCTCCTGG